TAAAGATAATTATTCAACATTCTAATTAGTTTAACTATACTTGATAAAAAATAGAAAATAACAATAAGAATGAATAGAAATAAAATGATAAAATTATATGAAATATAAATTCAAACATAAATAAAGATAGAATAGAAATAAACCATTCATAAATGAGAAAATGATAAAGTTGTATTAAATAATGAATAATTTAATTCAATAAATGAATTAATTGAAAATATTCAACATAAATTATTAAATATATTTAATTAATTTGATTTTCATAAGAACTAAACAATTTACTTTTATGTTTTATTAGTTTGAATGAATTGAGTTCATTTCAACATAAATTTAATTTTAGAGAATGAAATATTTAACATAATATTATTAGATAAAAAATAGAAGAACAATGTAAATGAATAAAAAAAATAAATATAATAATATGAACAAATACTAACTTGATTTTCAAAAAAAAATAATTAGAATTTATATAATTTAATGAAAATAAAATAATAAATAAGAAATGAATAAATTAAATAAATTTACAAAAACATTTTATTTTATATTACACGAAACAATATTCAATTAACTACTTGTTTATTTCAATTTATTTTAATTATTTATTTTTATTAATAAAGGATATTACTTAAATAAACACCATTGTTGAATTTCTTCTATTTCTCTAATCATTTCATTTGTATTTAACAAATAATTAATAAATTGGTTGTTCTTATTTTTATTATTTTAAACAATAGAAACAATATTTAAATACAATGAAATAAGTAATTCAACAATTTTTAATATCAACACATATAATAAAATAAATATAATAAATAAATAGATTAATAGGATAAATTAGATAAAATCAAGTAAATTTAATTGATTTCATTATTTTTGTTATTAAATTGAATTAATGTATTAAAATATCAATATCAATGAAACACATGAATTCTATTTATATCTATCGTTATTTTCATAAAAAAAGAAAGAAAAAAATTAATCAACATATTGTTTTATATAATATTATATATTTATTTTATCATTAACCAAATGAAGAATTTATAAAATGATGAAATAATAATGGATTAAATAAATAAATAAAATAATAGTTTAAATGAAACAATTATCTAAATTTAATCAAAAATTCATGTTTTCATTTTTTTATTGTAAGACTTTAATTATTAATAATAAAAATAAATAACAAATTGGTATATTATGATTAATCTATTTATATGTAAAATAACAAAATTCAACAAAAGATTCAAAATGACAAAAATGAAAGAAACAAAAGAATCATCACAAAATAATCTCATATTGTTATTCTTCATACTCATTTATGTTAGTGTTTTATATTATAATGTTAATTATTTGTATTAATGCTGATGAATATGACTGTATTCCAAAAGGATATAATTTTGAAGATGGATTTGAAAATGGAAAAGATAAACAATGTGAATCACGCACAAACGATTATTCATATTATTTTAACAAGGCTTTCAAATACTCTGGTTTAGCTTTTAAATGTAACCGAACATATCTTGATGGTAAGTTCACAATGACAAGTTCATATGATTACTGGAATGCAAATGTTATTGAAGTTATGGATAATTCTCAAATTAATTTAAATGGAAGATTTCATACATATAATGAATTTATCTTTAGAAAAAAATCTACAGTAGATTGGATTGGTCATGTTTCATTTAAACATTTAATTACATTTGAAACAACACCATCATTAAATCAACCCCAATTAATTATTTGGAAAAGTGATTATATTCATCTTTATAAAGATAAAGAATTTATAAACAAATTTATAATTAATAATCCAGTTAATAATAAACAATGTTTTGATGTGATGTCATTTAATAATAACGGTTCATTTGAAATTAATAAAAACCCAAATGATCATTATTTACCAGAAGATTTTAAGAATGGACTTGATATGCCAGATGGTAAGGCATATTTAATATCAAACAATAGATTAATGAGATTTTGTCCAAATGGAACTGATTTAGATACAAGTGTTACTTGTACAATAAATGGTATTAATTATAAATCATCATATTCAGGAAATGATAATCAACTATTCAATTATCCACATTGTCCATGTGATGATAATGGTGAAACTGAATGTATTCTTAATATTCAACAAAATTTAAACACAGTAGATTTTAATAATAATAATATTAAATATACAACTCTTAATATTGATCATGATATTATATTATATAATTTTATTTCAGCTAAACAAATTAATGTTAATGATGATATTACATTATTAATAGCATCTATTTCATCAATCAAAGAGTATACTCAAAAGATACAATTTAATAACTTTGAAATTACAAATAATAGAGAAAAGAATGTTATGACACAATTCAAATACAATTCAACTACAAATACATTGGAAATAAATGGAAATAATGAACTAAAACATTCATTAAATCCATCAAATAAACCATTAACTTTAATTATAAATGGTATTCTCACATGTAATTCTTTTGTTAATAATTCTGTTTATTATTTCACTAATTCTTCTTCATCAACACCATTAATAAATATTAATAATACTAATGGTAATAATAATATAATGATATTTGATGAAACAGTAACATTAAATGGTCAATTATCAAATTGTATTGTTTTAACTGGTAAATCAAATGAACAATTTAAATGTATCCAATGTAAAAAAGGATATTACTTAAATTCAAAACAAGAATGTCAATATGATTCACATTGTAATAAAATAAATAAACAAAGTCATTGTATTGAATGTGAATATGGATATTATTTAAATTCAAATAAAGAATGTCAATTATTACCAGATAATTGTATTGTAGGATATAAAACATATTGTTATCAATGTAAAGAAGGATTTATTAAAGAAAATGGAGAATGTAAAGAAATTGATAATAAATGTAATAAATCAGAAAGAAATTATTGTTTAAAATGTTCAAATGGATATAAAATACAAAATAATCAATGTAATGGAGATAATGAAGATCAATGTTATTATGAAGGAAATGAATGTGTATCATGTTCAAATGGATATACATTAAACAATAAAAAATGTTTAAATAAAGAAAAGAACCAAAATGGAAAGAATGAAGAAATATATTGTGAAAATGGAAAATACATCAATAATAATAAATGTATAGAATGTTCAAAATCAGAAATATGTCAAACAAATGATATTGAAATAAAATGTAAATATGAAGAATATTTAGATAATAATAAATGTATAAATAAAACATGTGAAGAAGATATGATAAAAGATCAAAATGGAAAATGTAATAATAATAATATTCAAAATTGTTTAAATAAATCATATGTTAATGGAAAATGTGTTGAATGTTTAAATACATATTCACCTAATTTGAAGGGAGAATGTATTAATACAAAAATAGAATATTGTGAAGAACAAAATACATATGGATGTAAAAGATGTAAAGAAGGATATTATTTAACAAAAGATAAGAAATGTTTAAAATGTGATAGTAATTGTGAAACATGTTATGAAACACCTACATATTGTATGAGTTGTTCTAATGATAAATATTTAAGAAATGATAAAACATGTCAATCAAATGAAGAATTAAATGGAACATGTTTACAAATATTGCAAGATGGAAGTGGATGTGGAATATGTAATAAAGGATATTATAGAAATGGAAAAGGATGTTCAAAATGTGAAAAAGAATGTTTAACATGTAATCAAAAAGATAAATGTATAATATGTGGAGAAGGATATTTTATGAGTTCAACAGGAATATGTAAATCAACAACAACAATTAAAGGATGTAAAGGAGAAATAGATAAAGAATATGGATGTAGAGAATGTTTAACAGGATATTATTTAATAAATAAAGAATGTTCAAAATGTGGAAATAAATGTATAACATGTTTAAATGAGAAAGAATGTAATACATGTGAAGATGAATATATAATAATAAATAAAGAATGTATTCATTATTCAAATATTAATAAATGTAAAGAAACAAAAAATAATAAATGTTCAAAATGTTCATTTTGGTATGGAATCAATGAAGAAGGAACAAAATGTAATAAAGAAATTGTATGGTGGATGATAATGATAATTATCATCATTATACTTATTATCATCATTATAATAATTATAATTATAATAATAATGATTAATTACATTATAAAACGCAAAGAAAAGAAAGAACAAGAGAAAACAACAACAATATTTAAAATTTCACAATCAAATATCAAATTTATATCACTTGGAGATGGAATAATAACAAATAAAAAAGAAATAGAAATAGG